TCTAGAACAGACTGCCAGGATTGAAGTGAGAAGGCAGCTGCGTTAGCACCCCCATCAGTTGGTTTCCCTCTCAAGCTTGGATCAGCCAGGTAGAGTAAGTGACCGGATACTATATCTTCCCCCGTCCCCGTGACCCCACATATCGCGACCGAGCTCTATCCTCACCGAACTCCAGCCCATTCTGGCATTACTACAGATGCCTCACTGCACCTAATATAACAATTCCTACCCCCTCCTTTCTTTCTTAAAACTCCCCCTCCCCTCTTCCCCTACCGATCGGAGATTTGCAAGCACTGTGGCTCTACTATGTGAGACCCTACATCCCCTCACTAGCGGATTTAGACACGCGTTGATCGATAACCGGAAAATTAACATGAATCATCCAATGTAGATTCATGAGACCCCACTCGAAACTTCAGTGTTCGCGAGAGGCCAGTCGCGGCAGGTTTGGCCCTAGCCGGACTGCAGACATCTACAGGCTTCCCAGTGATCCAGCCTGATTGTTATAGTTCGAGGGAGCCTTTAGGGCATGTGTATACATTAACATAGATTGAACGGAACACGAGTGTTCGAAGTGAGAAAACATTAGCAACTGGGATCAGAAGTGTGTGGACTTGGAGGTACCTTGGGTATGAAGATTCAACATCACTGTCTCTACCCTCTTTTCCAATAGCTGCCTTTTTCTCCCTTCCCGATTTTACTTTTGCAAGTTCTTAACAATCAATCTTCTTCATCTCATTAAAGCTGGCTCCTGCCACGTCTATCTCAACAACGAGCATATGTGTCAATAGCCTCTGTGCCTACATGTTGGAGGTTACCTTCACCGCCACCACATATACCAGTAGGAGTTAAATGGCCGCTCTGTGCACAACGTGGTGGAGATCTGTAGTGCACTATACACCTGCACCCAAGCCCAAAATAGTTGTATCAAACTTGGGAATAAGGATTAAGAAGAGGAGAAATAGTTCGCGATGCGGAATCATTAGGCCCAAGTGTGCTTGGAGAAGGACGTGGTGGAGGAGAGGCTATAAGGAAAATTGTTAGCCGTTCTATGTACTAATGCTGATGCAGGAGGTAAATGGCGTGAAATCATAAACAAGTAAAAATTCGCTAACGCGCGAGTGACTCACCTACACTTTAGGAATATATCGAGTGATAGGGATTTGCCCAGCATCCACACTAGAGCGGCATTCGTAAAGTTCTCATACCCTCCCTACTGCCCCCGGCCCCCTGCGAACGTTGAAGTTCGGAATAAAATCCGCTGATGATGCTCCTGAAAGGCATCAGCTGCCAGTGGTTCCTCCAAAAACCCACGAGAGTATGATATGACTTCATACGCTGCCTTCATCCTGCTTGTCTGAACGGCAGTCCACACACTAAACCAGCGATGCCCGGACAACAAACGGACAAAACGCGGGCAGGTAATGGATGAGGATGCCCTCCTCCTCCCCAGCGAAGACGCTCCGGTGGCATTTCAGCCGACAGAGCAAACCGATCACCACCAAAACCCGGGGGAATTCCTGTCTTCCCCCTACAAGATCCCAAGTAAAGAAGATCCCGTGTCTCCACACCGAGTGCCTATATATGAGGAAATTCACCCCACTTCTCTCCCTCCCGGCGCAGTACTCTTGTCCTACCCGGTCGAGTAACGAATGGCGAGTCTGTAAGCGTCATCATGCCAGAAGTGAGCGTCTGTGAGCCGCGGGTCAGCGGGCACCACATCACAAGCCTGGTCTACTCGCGTAGCCGAATTAGCGGCTTGGGGGATAAATGCACCTGACAAGTTTGCTATCGTCGAATATATACCGTCTTCCATTACCTACAAAACTCTTCCCTCTTCACCCCTCACACGCCACTTCCCCGAGTCCAATACCATTTCCTTTCATATTTGCTTGGGTTCATTCCGCTGATAGGGCGCTATCGATTAACTCCTGATCATTCCGCTGCTATGGCCGCAGAAACTGAGCACCTTTACACACCCTTTATGTCCGAAGGCGCATACTGGTGATGCGTGAAGGGCTGAAGATGAGAAAACAAGGTTTTCTCCGATGACGGTTGAGGTCATTACTGTTCTCTTTAAATCACATGTTTGGGCATCAACTATGCCTTCCCCTTCGATTTGCATAAGGGTTTTCTTGGAGTCGTTCCAGTTGGGGGCATCGATCAAGTTACGGTGGCTCTCTGCGAGCGTACATGAGCTTATTATTATTATTATTACCTTCTATTGCCCGAACATTCCGAGTGATAATGCGTGAGAGCTGGTCCGATCGCTGGCTTGGTCAAACTTTTGCCTTTGTGTCTGGATCGTGTAGCAAACGTCCCATTCAGTTGTATGATATTATAGCTTCATTGCAGTGCTGTTACGAAAACTTGACGAGCGAGTGAGAAGTAATGATATTGCTATACTACAAACTAGGTAAAGCTCTATCTTTCTATCATAGCATTGCTTGAAGACTAGTATTATGATCCAATGTGTCTCAGATATGTATCATACTAAGGAAATTGCATCTTGTGACGTCTCTATTCCCCGCCTAGGGGGGGGTTTGTCAGTAAGAAAGTTATTTCTGGAGAGCCGGAGTTCAATTCTCTGGTCTGTTTGATTTTTTTTATATATTTTATTTCAAGGCGAATGCGGATATATAAAATACAAAGAAACATGAACACAGAGAGGGATTGAACACGGTACCTTCAATACCCATTTTCCTTATCTCAAGCCTTTACCCTTCAAACAGAGCAATTATATGATCCAACAGGCTTGGTACATACATGTTCGAAACGCTTTATCATACGTCATATGAAAAATAAGCTCATCAAACTCGATACGCCTAAGAATAAAAAGCATTACAATCAGGTGTATACCCCATCCTCCCCCTCCTTCCTAAAAACGCTCATCCCACACTTTTACATCGCCCACACACACATCCGAACACCAAAACCCGAAGCTCATACCATACAACGATACACCATAACCCGACTCCCCAGACAAGCCCCAATATCCCTAAAATCCACTCCTCCAACCCCCCCTTCCTCTCCTCAACTCGGGGCATAAATCCCCCGAGCTCTCGCAGGCAACCTGCGCCTTCTTGGAGAGCGCTGGCAAGGGAAACAATCAACCATATGCCTCTGTGCAGAGACCACCTTAAAAACGGTACATCGGGGTCCGCTCCCGCAGAGGGATGAGGGGGTGATGTAAGAGTCACCGCACGGGTAGATTGAGAGAGTGTGGTGACACATATTTAGCGAGAGGCACAAGTTTTGATTCGGGTACGGGGGCGCAGCAGGAGGGACTTCCGGTGTCGGGGGCGGTATATTTCTGCGAGTGATACTCTTTGTTTCCCTCTTTCTCCCGCTCTCATATGTGATGTGATGGCAGGGGTGGAGCGAGAGGCGGGATGGAGATTGGGATAGGGTATATGTATGTATGTATGTACGTATCTGTATAGGATGGATCAAAGGTAGCTTTTTTCGTGTGAACAATCTCGAGGAGGTAGGTGAGTAAGTAATCGTTCAAACCTCCCTCCATCAGTAAGAGAGTACAAACATACAGAGGGATATCATGGTGGTCTTATTCGTACAAAATCCCCACCCCCCCTTTCCTCCCTCCCCCTTAGAAACTATATTACGACACCTTCCTTCACGCAAGGGATAGAGCACATTGCGAACAAACAATGATCGAGCTTAACTTATAGCAAAAGCGACTCCCCCTGTTGTCCCTATATTTAGTCGGAACGTAGTGGATCCCCGCATATACATGAGTGAAAGGCCAGCTGATCCATCCATCCATCCATGCCCAAGCAGTCGGAAATGATATTTAGCGGGAAGAAGACTTTGTTTGCTTTGAAGGGTCCCCCCGCCCGGGCTGAACGCTTTGTGCGGGGGGGGGTATGTGCGAATGGATGCAAGGAGGGGACGTCTGGTTTGCTTCGTCTTGATGGGTATGTAAGGAGGAGGGTGCCGGACATTTCGAAATAATACAGTAAGGGGTAGTCGATGCGGAGGGAGTTATTGATCGACCCAGTACGGTACTCGAGTAACGAGGCGCAAGTGATGATGATCCTCCCGGACCACCGCATCCAAGCGCGTGAAGAGACGCGTGCTGTACTCGAGCACTGTACTCGTACTGCACTGTACAAGCTGACCACGGTAATGAAAGCAAATCTATATTTTCAAAAATAAGACACAATACCGAAATGTCCATGAGACACCGTCTCATTTACAATTGTTACATCGGGCTGTTGTATTTTCTTATGTAACCTTCTACTTGTTCCCGCCTTCCAGCTAACATTGGTCACTACCACAAAAAAATTCACACAACCCGTTCCTCGATTACCAGCGTTTCAAATGAAAGCAGAATAATAATAATTTAACCTTAATTAGTTAGACTTTCTAAACGTACGTGGAAAAAAAAAACTGCAAAGAAAAAGCTTGCACTCAAGGATTCCTCTCCTCCCTTCTTCATCATCATCATTACCTTCAAGACTCCACTCCTCTCTTCCTCGTCCGCCGGGGTAACGGGTGAAAATGAGGGGTTAGAATTAGGTATTCATCGGAATTCTGCAGGAAGTGGGTGGAGTGTTCGTGTGATTGAACAACGCCGGATTAGGAATCGCCATGTCACCCCTCTCTCTCTCCTCTCCTCCACAGCATAGCTTTGCAGCTGAGAAGGGGGAATAGAGGAAAACAGAAGGAAGGGCGAAACAAACTAAACTTTACCAAAAAGACGTATCAGGGCAGGCACGATGGAATGTGACTTAGGTATGGATAGTATAATGATAGACGCAAAGCACATCTCTTGTTTATTTTATCTCCCCTCCTAGAGGACCGAACCCGTGTGTATCACACCGATAAATACAGACAAGCAAACAGCTGTTAGCAGAAGAATTCCAATCCCCAGAGAGTGAAAGAAAAAAAGAAAGAAAGAAAAAAATACCAACAATCCCTTCGGAAATGCCCCGTTAGCCCCGGAGCATGAGTCGAAGGACAATACCGTAACGCAAAAAATTCCCAATGGCCAACCCCGAACCTTTTTTTTTGTAAAACCGGAAAGGAAAAATGCCCTAAATAGAATTTAAGAAATGAATGGTTACATGAAATGAAAATTCCTCAAGAAAACAGTGGCAAAAAAAACAGACCGTAAGCCGTAATTTCTATACAAGGATGGTTGAGGAAAAGGGTATGGGGTATTAACTGGCTGACACATCGGAGCTCAGCTCCGAGCCCTGGGACAGATAGAGAGATGAGCGAAAAAAAGGGAGAGATATTTGACACCCGTAATAGGAATAGCCACGTCAAAATATTCACGACCGGTGCAGGTAACCCTTCCAAGCCCTCGAGATCTTTTTCATAGGTCCCCCTCTGCGTGAAATCCTCCGTTCCGTTAATTCGCCCTGTTCCTCTAGCTCCTCCGCTCGAGCTCGTTCATCAGCTAGTATTTGCAGCTGTTTCTCGATCTCAGATAGCGACCAGGGTCTCTCTTCTGAGCCTCCTGAGTGCCTCGAGGGAGGGGGTGTGCGGGAGATTGATTTTTTTGTGCGGTTTGTGTGGCGGACGTATGGTGCTTCTCGAGCCATGAATAGTCCTTCGTCAAAGCTTGATCGTATAGGAGGAAGGTAGCGGCCTTCGTTACCGTACGGCTCGGCATTTAGTGCCGGGTAGTCTGCTAGGTCTTTGAATGAGCAGGGCAGGGACCATGAATCGGAGAGATGCTGTATCGATGTGTTAGCCAGATAGTTCATATAAAGATGGTCAGGTAGCTCTAGCAAACCTTTGGTTTGTGCTGGAAGGGAACATATGGGCTTTCTCCCATTTCTCTATATTCGTAATCCGACTCTACGAACAGATCTCCCAGCGTCTCTCCGAGCTCTAGCAGGTTTGCGCTAAGCACGAATGGTGAGGAATACAAGTCTCTATCGTCCTCGAGCCCGTGTTCTAGCGGAGACATCAGTGGAGATGTCAAGAATGGTGTTGGAGGAGGTGGTGGAGGAAGCTGATGTTTCTGTGGTGTTTGCATACCGGTATATCGGAAGGAAATTTCGGGAATGCATAGACTATCTGTAGAGGACCGAGAGCTATAGCTACTGATAGATGAGTCTGGACGAGATAGGTCGCTGTTATCTTCCCTGTCCAAAATAGGCACCAGTTCGGGATCCTCCGGCGAAGGAGGGAACATATCCATGATGTCTTCGAAATCCCTTGGGAAGAGGTAGGGCTGTGGGTATATGCCCTGGACTGAAGTCATCCTTATATATGGGGGATTAGATTGGGTACTAAAGAGACTTTGTAGAATCTGGCTGTTGATCCGGATAATCTCCCTTCTAAGCTGGGGTCGAGGTCGAATGAGCTCGTTGTGGTTCAACTTCGATGAGGAAAGGGAGTGCGAATACCTGAGTTTATAGCCATCATATGGTTGTTGGTCCGCCGAAATTCGAGACCCGCACCCCACCACCCTCGCAACTAGTCCTAGTCCACCCCCCACTTCCCTCCTCCTCCGCCCTTGCAACTAGTCCTAGTCCCCCCCCACCTCCTACCCCTTTCATTGTGTCCCAAGGAATAAAAAGGCTACATGGTTTGTGGTGGGGGGGGACTGCCACTCCGCCGTGCGGAGGTGCAAGTACCCCGAGCGAACTACTTCAAGAAAAGATGTACTGTACTCGAGTACTCGAGTACATGTACACATGCAAGCCATATTTCCTCGCCCGGATCCCACTATACGTCCCCCGGATTTTATGCACCCCAGAGCTAGGAACGGATTCTGAGGTGACCTGCATACCACCTCATCTCGTGTCAAGGCTGGACAGTGGATATTCCAGCCTGGATCAGACAACATATTTCAGGATACATTTTAAGCAGCGTTACAAACACAGCACAAAGGAAAAAGAACCCAGCCCCCAACCAGTATATGTCAATCACTGTACTATGCTCGACTATGATAGCATTTTTAACTTTAATCACAGTACTTCCAATAAATATTGCAGGACATGATAGTACCAACCCTCCTCCACTCCGAGCTACATCCAATACCAATACCACGCTTTTCGAAGAAAAATATGACATCAAATTCTCCGCTCAAATTCCGATCCCTTTTTGTTGCTCCACTTAGCAAATAATTTTACTAAGTAATAGTAAATGAGCCTGTCCCACGCTCGCCCAAAAGGCGAGGTAGAGAGAGGGTCGATCAAGATCAATGGACCACTGACCGATAGTCACGTTCCATGTACACGTAGAAAAAGGAAGCAGGGAAGCGTTAGCCAGTCCTCAAGTTATTGCCAAGGTTCCCCAAACTGTAAAATTATGGTGGGAAGGGGAAGCCAGTGGATTTTCAACATGATCTTCGCTGATTGAGGGGTACGAGTATGCACTGACCATTTCGTGGTCGTGGTGGCCTTTTTTTTTTCTTTTTTTTTTCTTCTCTCCCTCTTGACCTCCTTCATCCCCTCTCCCCCGCACTACCGATTTTCTGGAACCAGCTTTTATTCGTTCTATGAGCCTGGAGTGCATAGCCCACTGTGCTCGAGTGCTCGAGTATAGGAGGGCCCTATGAATCACTATTCCCAGCGCAGATGTGTGGCATGTAACATCCCGACGAGTACGGGCACGGTGCTACAGACATGGAGTAAATTAAGGCAGGGAAAGAAGCTCCGCCTTCGTCGTCGCCGTCGCCGCCTAGGTGCTCGGCAATACTGAAGCGCACACCCCCCCCCCCGAGATAGCCGAAGAACTACAACTAAAGAGACCAAATCGTTGTAGGAGCCAAAAAAAACAAAAAAAACAAAAACAAAGAAAATCTCCACACACAAAAAAAAAAACCCCCTTTTACCACGATGTCGAGTAAATATAACGATTCCCATTCCCCTCGAGAAATAGAGTAAAGCGCTCAGAAATCCCCGGCTCGCGCGCTCCTCCAGGAATGGAGGAGCTTGAGTGAGGGAAGGGGGAGGAATGAGGAGTGAGAGGCTGGCATCGATTGATGGCCTCGATCCCTTGCAGTCCGCCGTGGTACCATACAGAACGATTGTGCTGCCCGTTTCAACAGATCAGCCGGCCAAAATGTCGAAAAGCTGCGATCGAAAGGTTGTCTCACTCGCATCAAAGTGACACAAGGAGGAGGGCCACACAGTTTGAACCTTTTCTCCCCCCCCACCGCTCGAATGGACTTGGAATCCAGATCGTGCGGAAAAAAAGCGGTTACAGCGGTATAACCTTATTTAAATTGCTTAAGCGACGGATTTCCCATAAAGGCTTTGCTGATCTCGGTGGACAAATGGTAAAAAGAAAAAAAGAAAGAAGGAAGGAAGGAAAATGTTGCGACGCCGAATTGACGCGCGGAGAAATCCTTTCTCAAAAAGTTGGCATTATCGGCTCAGCTGTCCACAAAGGATTGCTTGCTTGCTGGCTATTGAAATCGTAGCCAAGAGTTTACAATTGAGCTACAGCGACTTATATAAGTTGTACGAGTACAGTACTTAACTCACCCAGCCAAACCCCATATTGTGGAAAAGTACCCCCATATGCCGGCAGCACGAGCACCACGATATCGGAAGTTTCGAGAATCCTTTCCCTGAATTCATCTCCATCTGCTCGAGCATTCGTGGATACACGGCGGAAAGATTTTCGACACGCTACCACTTTCCATATCCATCATCACCACCAGGACCACAACCACCCCACACGCAAGGAACTTCTGTCCGCATCCGCACCAATTTACCGCACTGTACTCGAGTACCGTACTAGTGCTGTGTAGTCGCGACGAAGTAATCACCGGACAAGAGGAGTGTTCATGTATCAAAAGATCCGCGTTGCAATGGCAGGACTCGCCCTCATCCCGTCCGGTCACTACTTTGTCGCCACTACAACAACATCGGTACCACAAATGTAGTGTACAGTATGGTACTTCTCGAGTATCAACTCTTGAAAGGAAATCCCTTCCCCCGGCTCACCCCACACCTACACATGGAGCCGGCCGGAACCTGACAAACGAAACTGAACAAGAGTCCCCCCTCAATCTTGTTTCGATCGGATCTGGATAACAAGAGAATTTTCAACAAGCCACCCGCGGACCGGCCATGTGGGCATTAATTATCTTGCCGCCGAAACCGATTGATCCCGTCCTTGATCAATCTATCCTACTGGCAATCGTATCTATCTATAGATGCTCTTCTCTTCTCTCTACGTTACTCGAGTACCATGCAGTACCGTACTCTACCCTACACAAGTACTCTACCCAGAATTCAAAACTGAATTATCCTTGCATCTCATCACACACACCCTTTCCCACGATCTGCATGGCATAAAGAGGTGTGTTAGAGGAGCTCCGGGAAAGACTTTCTTTCCCCCCCTCCCTCCCCTTCCCTCATACGTACTCGTACCTGCCAACTTTATTGCATGGTATCGGTACCATATTATTAATTCCGGTGGTTTGGACATGCACCATCCGGGATCCCACTTGAAGCGAAGAATTTTTTTAATTTTTTTTTTACCTAACCCAGTGTCACCATTTTGACAGTTCAAGAGGAACAAACACCAAACAAGCTTTGGCAGCGTAGTACGATAATGGAACTGGTTGGCACCGCAAAAAACTCTTTGAAATCCACAATCCCCACCAGCCCTGTAAATCGTCAGATCCGAGACAAAGAAAAAAAAGCTCCCGAGAAGCCCACCGGATGCATCAGATCTCGTTATCTGGGTATTCGTGACCCCCATTAACCAATGGTGGAACTGTCGGGGCTGGTTCCCGCTGATAATCTGATAGTGAGTTTTCAAGAGTCTTTTTACGGCAGTGGGGGGGGAGGGAGGGGAAGAAACAACAACATACAGCTTATCATACTCTCAACACATTGCGTAAGGATTGGGAAGAGAGGTGGCGGCGGTGGTGGTGAAGGTCGCATATCGAGGATCGTGCAATCGGGATTTCACACTCTCTCACTCTCTCACCCATTTTCACTCCTTCCTGGAGCCCCACAAATAAGGAGCTCAGGAGGGGGAGAGAGAGGAAAGAAAGAAAAGATACTCACCGCGAGCGAGTGGAGAGGTGGTGGGGTAAATGAAATTTAATTTTTTTTTGTTCTTCCCCCTTTCTCGCACTTGGGAAATTTCTATCTTAGATTAGGGGTACAGTACTTGGTCCCTCGCAGCGATCTGTCGATGTATGTACGAGTACAGTACGAGTACAAGTACGGTATAGCACTATACAGTACTCGAGTACTCGTACATTCAGGCTCGGATGGAATTGGTTTTTGGGGGAGGGTGGTTCACCGATAGCGCCGTGGAGATAGAATCCTCGCAGCCTGCCGCACGGCGGCATGCCGATAGTGATAATACCCACCGCTCGCGGCTCAGAGGATATACTGTACTCTTACTCGTAGTTGGGTTTGAGATGTTGGGCCTTGAGTAGTTGGAGTACCGTATGTATGATATTGCTTTTTGTTCTGCTGCGTTGTTGGACTTTTTCTGAGGCTGGACTGGTCATACAAGAAGTACAAGTACTAAATTTATGAACCAACTTGGATACCATACTTGTACTAGTACTTGCGCCCAAGCTGGGCCAATTATGCTCTACTCTACTCGTATGGTTCAAAGGGCTTTGGTTTTTGGTGTTCAATATTTTGTCGTGTTCTCTCCCCCACTGACCGGCGCACCAGGACCTACCGGTAATCTACCCGCAATTACTTATAACTCGCAGCGTCGAAGCGTTTTTAAAAAGGAACTGCTATTGGATAACCATCCAGATCCGAGAAAAAAAGGCGGCTAATTTTCGGTGGGTATGCAATGGTAGTTCTTTTTGAAAACGCTTCGACATCACGAGTACGGTACCCGAGTTTTGTAACCGGCACCAAGTGTGCTAAGCACTAGCTAACCAGGCGGGGGGGGGAGGGTAAGGCAAAAAAATGGTCAGGCGAGCTCGGTCACCCTTTCCTATTGCTATATAGCTGTTGCTCTCCTGCAGGCAGGCCAGGGACCTGTACCGAATAGCATCATATTCGTAGCGTGTCGCGGCGGCGTCGAAGCGTTTTTTAAAAAGAGCTTACTATTGCATATATACCACCCAGATCTGAGCAGAAGGCTGGGGCCAAATTTTGGTGGTATGCAATAGTAGCTCTTTTTGAAAACGCTTCAACGTCACGAGTACTTGAGTATTGTACCGGCACCAGGTGTGCTAAGCACTAGGGAGGGGGGGGGGTAAGGCAAAAAAAAGTCAGACGTGCTCGGTCGCCCTTTCCTATTGCTATTGCTGCTCTCCTG